CTTAAAAAGCCAGAGTTTAACATTGTGCTACATCAGAGCAGTGGGCCCTGGAGACGTCTCCGAAGGCAGGGCTGGTCCTCTCCATGGAGGTGATGTACTCAGAGGGAGCCACCCAAGTCTGTCATGGTCACTGCTGTTTTTCCAGGACCTGCATAGTGTCTGGGTCCCACAAGTTGTTCAACAAACACTCCTTGCATGATGGAATGAATGTTGGATGCCTGGCAGTCTGTGTCCTGGGCTGCACACAGAGCCTCCAGTGGTCGTAGTTAGGATGACCTTACGAGTATGCCCCATGTGCCTGGATTGTCCTGTTATTCATCAGTTATTCTTTCCCTTCTTACAATGTCCTAGTTGGATGATGATGTATTTGGACTCCCTAGTGGAAGTCCAAATTTCAGTCAACCCAATTTCTTCTTCCTATTACATAAAAACATCTTTTTTTATAGATTTTTTTTTTATTATTATTGGGGAATTGGGGGAAGGAGAACAGACAAGTTGCTGTCCTTTTGTTCTTCAGTCTAGTTGTGGAGAACATTGCTTCGCCGGCTTCTGGACGGCCGCTCACTGCGGCTGCTGGCCGCTCACACTGGCTGCTGCCTACACACGGTAGCCCATGGCGACCCACCTGCCTTTGCCGGCGACTCACGGCAGCCCAGCTCCAGGTCGAGCTGTTGTTCAGCATCTTAGCTGTAGAGGGCAGTGTCACTGGCTTCATATGTGGGATCCGAACCCGGGCTCTCTGGTGTCCCAAGCCAGCTCTTAACCAATGCGCCACTCAGCCGGCCCTACATAAAAACATCTTAACGAAGAAATCAAAATTATTTCAAGGGATTCATATTTTTGAACCAACTGTTAACAGTTTAGTTGGGGGTCTTTTAGATGTGCTCTGAGCTAAAAATGAAGATAGAAGTTGTTTCTCTCTTGTCTGCAGAAAGTGGTCTGCCACTAGCCGGTCTCTGCCTCATGTGTTTTATCAAGGTCAATACTGACCCCAAACTCTTCTTTTTGCAGAGGAGGGCAAAAGTTTGTCATAATTCTAACTATTTTCTCCCAACAGCTAACACTCAAATTATAGGTGGAAACATTAACCACCACAGGGAGGGGGTGAAAATACTTCACTCAGGGCTCTACACTCCTTTCGGATATCGATTCCAGATCAAGGAATTTACTTGTAAATCATTTTACCCTTATATGAAAGTAATAAATATTCAATTTGGAAAATCTAGAAAATGCAGATATGCAAAAAGGAGAAAATCTAAGTCACCATAATCCCAACACCCAGAGATAGCCACTANGCCACGTGGGGTTCACCTGTCTAGTTTTACGTAAAGAGCTTTGTCTCAGTGGAGAAATGACAGAGGCCTCTCTCCTTTGCAGTGTGAAGCTCATCTCGGCCACGTGTTTCCTGATGGACCTGGGCCTACTGGTCAGAGGTTTTGCATCAACAGCCTGGCACTGAAGTTCAAACCAGGGAAACACTGACCTTCTCCGAGGTTCCCTTCCCTTGCCACTCCTTCCTTGACACCCTCAATTTTCATAATTCATGTAAATGACTTGTGTTATTTACTATGAAACGAAGCTAAGTTTGCTGCTAGCACCCAGTAAGTCACAACTTTTCTAACTCACTTATCTGTAATGAACTCAATCCTGACTCCAGCTCTGACTGTGGAATTTCACAGAATGACAGAGGGGCAGCCATTTCCGTCAAACTGACTCTGTAGGCTGTGCCTGGGACCCAAGGGCATCACTCTTTGGGGACATTAGGAGGCTGATGGACTACCAGCCAGAAAATTCCTGCAAAATTACCCTGAAATTTCCGCTGTGGTTAAGTCCTTATAGGTGAGAGATCAAGTGGAAAGAAAAAGGAAATATGAGATTACTCAGCAACCCAGCATTGAAAGAAGCACCGAGGAACAGCAGTATGGAAGAGCTGTCTTTTGGAGGTAGGAATGGTGACGGACGGGAGGCAGTCAGGACTACAGCAGGTCTCTAGAGCCCACATCCAGTCCTCTCCCCATTATTCTAGTCCCTATAACACAGTCAGAATCTAGGACTCCTATTTTTCAAATATAATAAAAAGCACTTCTTTTAAGTGAACAATTTACTGAATGTTGATAACTTTATGCAATCATGTAACCCCTAACACTATTTTTCTGATCAGTTTTCTTCATTTTCCTTCAGGAAACTACCTCTTCTCTTAGAGTGCTAGATATGCTTAATACATACATTAGTTCTGTTGGCAAGAACCTTGCCCTTAACCTTGTTAGTTTACAACAACGCCAAAGGCACACTGGGTAACACTGTAGACTCTTCCAGCCACGCCCTGGTAACATTGGTGGGGCATTCCCTTCATGTCTACGGTATCGCCTTTCCTGTGGAGTCACGTGTATGTGGCCAAAGGAATAGCTCTGTGCTTCCTAAAAGGCCTAGAAAACGTGTAACGGGTTCCTCTCTTTCCTTTTGTATTTGTCATTTTGGCAAACTATTGGAAGATGGCAGTTCCAGCCCAAGGCCTAATATAATAGCCTTTTGACTCATCCTGTGGTGTTTGATGAATCAAGATATTTATGGTGGATACTGGCTATGAATACAATTTTTATGCTATATTCTGGTTTCCAAACATTAGTGGGTTTTTAGATATATTCATATATATTGTGATCATGTTACAAAAATATAAATCGCCATTAACAGCTGGTTATCATAT